ATCCTTCAGGGAAGGAAATATGCCAACCTTAGCTATATGTGACTCCAAATCCACAGGATTGTGGTTGATTTCTTAATTGATTCTGGGTGTAGTGAATGGAACCAGGGTCAGGTGGATCTTATTGACTGTGAGATCCATGTTTGGGGCTGTTAACCTGGACCAATCAGGGAGCCCTGGCTGACAGATGTAAATAAGAGATTCAGAAGTTCTCCTCATTCTAGGGTCTGACTCTGAGCTGGCCCATGTAACGTGTATATGTTAATAAATGATGACTTGGTGACGGGATATTTTACTGGACAGTTGGGGTTTGGCAATAAATGCTGGCTTAGCTAACAACACCCAAATCCCATAACCAAAGTCTTAAAGCTTAGATAGCATATGTGTCAAAAATGAAAAGCAGCCCAGTTCCTACTCTGTCACGCAGCTTTGCAGCCATTTTAAAGCTGGGTATGGATAGTTGTGGTCCCTCCTGAATGAGGTGATGGGCTCAAGAATCCATGCCAATGACAGTCACATTTCTGCAGAAATTTAACGCTAACTGGTGGGATGATCTACCATGGACTCAGCCACAAACCAGACCTGCAAGGTTAAGTTCAAACGGTTTTTTTATTGGAGCTGAGCAAAGGAGCGGATCTCTGGATCCCACAATAATACTTTGGGCCTCTGCCAACCCAAATTTTTATCCATTCCATATTCCTGAAGCAGACATAGCCCTCACCATGCCTCCCATCTTCCACAACCAATGCCCCCTTCACAAGCCCTATCCCTGCCTCACCACATGCTAAATAATCTTGCTGTGATGTAGGGGCCCCCTGGACCTTAGGTATTACACCAGCTCTATGCTGGGCTATCTTCATAGGAATCATAGGATCCTTACAGTGTGGAAGCAGGCCATTTGGCCCATTGAGTCCACACTGTGCCTCCGAAGAGCATCCCACCCAGACCCACCCTCCTACTCTATTCTTGTAACCCTGCATTTCCCATGGCTAATCCACCCAGCCTGCACATCCCTGGACACTATGGGCAATTTAGCATGACATATCCACCTATCCTGCATACCTTTGGACTTGATAGTTCATTGGGAAAGGCACGTCATAGGTTCAATTTGAGTAAGGCCCAGACTTTAAAATGGATCAGACATTATGCTGCAAAACCCAGTCCATTCCCATGACGTTATTTATCCCAATTGTCTAATCACAAACATTACACACTTATTGAACAATACAGTAGGGAGATATACATTTAGATGGTATATTTAATTTTACATGGTAGATACCAACTGAGGAAGCTCAAAAATATATTATTTTAATATTATCTTGATTTTTACCACAAGTATCAACATTGATTTACAGCATGTTTCTGGTCATTACCATTTCTGTTCTATGTCAGTACCTTCTCAGTTATTATGAGTATTAAGCTTGCTTTCCTGAGGCCTCTAAAACTATCTCCCTCACCTCTATTTCAAGAGATTATCATCATAAAAGAATTGTGTGAGATTTGGAGTGAGGTCTTTCTCGATGTCCAAACTGACATCTCATTTTCCAACAAAGTCCTGGATGTTAAAATGGGATTGTCACTAGAGAGTAGCAAGAGGAAAATTAATAGGTGGATAATCACTGATTATTACCCTCAGTACTACACAATCTCACCTCAATAATTTGCCGAGGTCTCAAGCTCCCACCAACACTGAGAGTTCCTATCCCTAAATTCAGACAAGTCGCCTGGCTCTCCAGATGCCAACATCTCAAGACACCCTTCACAGATAGCAGCTGCACACGTCCCACGTCAACACAAGTCTTCATCCAACACGCGCCAGACTCACTGCATCATCATGGCACATTCCGATCCACTTACAAAACAGTTCTGCATTGCCTTACTGCACTTTGGAGCAAACCAGCACTTTTCACTGCAATGCTGCTGTGGGAGGGGGCTCAAGACATCCGCCTTTGCCACTTGGCCTCCAACTTGTGCTGTTCCAACTTGCAATTGTACGCACTCAGAATAAGAACCCACTGCTGAATTTGACCTGAAGCTATGGGCAGCACAGCCCTGTCCTCTTAGATTAGCCATAGCAGGGATCTGTGGTCTGTTGTGATTATGCCTGTAAAGGTAACTGTGAAACTTTCTTACATCAAAGATGACCGCTAAACCTTCCTTCTCTATCTGGGCATACCTTTATTTAGCATCAGCAAAAATCCAGGAAGCATATACTACCGGACATTCCTCTCTGCTGGGCCACTGGTGAGCCAACACCACCCTGATACCGCATGGGAAGGCAGCACACATCAGCTTGCGATCGTAGTGTGCTATCACCTTAGACACCAATAGCTGTTTCTTCACTTCCCTAAAGGCTACATCTTGGCTACAAGACCATTTCCAAGGCTGACCATTGTTCAATAGCAAATGTAAGGATGCCACAATGGAGACGAGGTTACATTTGAATTTTCCGTAATAATTCACCAATCCAAGGAAAGACCTAAGCTCCTGTACGGATGTGGAAGCCGGGGCATCTTTGATCGCCCTCACGTTATCTTCCAATTGGTGTAACCCGGGCTTGTCGATCTGTAGCTCAAGGATATCACTCGGGATGGCTAGAACACATATTTTTCCCTCCTAGTCATACCCCAACCTTGGAGAAATGCTTATGTACTATGCTCATTCTCTAAATGCACATTTTTGATCTTCCCACCTAATAGCACATCATCCAGATAAATTGCGACATGGGATAAACCTTAAAAAATGTTCTCCATCGTCCACTGGAAAATTGCACATGCTGACAATACCACAAATGGCAGTCTCATATAAAACCTCATGGGTATTAATTGCAGCATACTTCTGGGAATCCTCACCTAATTGCAATTGCAGGTACGCATGGTTCATGTCCAGCTTCATGAAAGACAGCCCTACCCCCCACCAGTTTTGCATTATAAGTCCACTATGTGAGGGATTAGGTATTTATCCAGCTGTGAAAAGTGGTTCACCATTTGTTTGAAGTCCCTACAAAAGTGAATCAACATGTCAGGCTTCACAATCAGTATGATGGGCGCTGCCCATTTTGCAAACTGGACCGGTTTGATGATTCCTTTGCTTTCCAGCCTCCTGATTTCATCCTCTACTTTCGTCCATGAGGCAAATGGCACTGGGCAGGCCTTGCAGAATTGTGGAATTGCTTCCCGGTCAACATGCAAGGTGGCCCTGGCTGCTTTGATAGTCGCTAGAACTTCCTGAAAAAGCTTCCACATATTTAAGTAGGAATTCTAATCAAAAAATGTTGAGCCAATCAAGGTGATTCTTTCTCAACCAATTTCACCCCATCAAGCTTGGGCCCGAGTCTTTTACTACAACTGAACCAGCTGCTTCTCATAAGAGACCAGAAGCGAAGTTGTACCCTTAATCTGTAAAGGTCCCCCAATATAGGTTCTCAGCCTGGCTGAGGTCTTACACAAACTGAAGGGTTGGAGTTCCGAGCAAATTCTGTTAAAGATTGATTCCACAATCACTGACACAACTGCGTCAGTATTGATTTCTGTGAGAACTGGGTGACTATTTAACCAGATTTTTATTTTGGTTGGTTCTTATTTGGCTGTTGCTAAGCAATTTAACTGTTCCAACCCAGCTGTAGGTAGACTTTCCAGGGTGAACACTCTCCTGGAGACATACTGGCCTGTGACCACTTCATAGAATCCCTACAGTGTGGAAACAGGCCCTTCGGCCCAACAAGTCCACACTGAACCTCAAAGCATCCCACCCAGACCCATCCCCCTATAACCCACTTAATCTACACATCCCTGAACACTATGGGCAATTTAGCATGGCCAATCCACCTAGCCTACACATCTTTGGACTGTGGGAGGAAACCGGAGCACCCGGAGGAAACCCACGCAGACACAGGGAGAATGTGCAAACTCCACACAGACAGTCGCCCTAGGCTGGAATAGAACCTGGGTCCCTGGCGCTGTGAGGCAGCAGTGCTAACTACTGTGCCACCGTGCCGCCCCTTACTCAATTCAGGACAGTGGGACTCTTTAGCTGTCCTGAGTCCACATAACTACAGTAGTCTACTGGCCTGGATGCTCAAGAATGTTTTAACCATTTGGCCAAGGCTTGGCTTTGTTTTGGGGTTTTGTTGTGGGACGACCTAAAGTCCCTCTGTTCAAGGTATGTCCTGAATGAGGCTATGCAATTGCCTACACTCAAGTGGTGTTTCCCAAACTCAGTCGGGCTGGTGAGGGTGCCCACTTCCATCAGCATATGCTGTAACTCATAGGCTCCATTTGCTGCATTTTCCAGTGATAAAGCCAGTTATAGTGCCTGTTTGAAGTCCAATTGAGCTTCAGCTCATGGGCGCTTTTGCATGGTGACATCATTAATTCCACATATCAACTGGTCTCTAAGCATCTCATTAAGGGATAAAGTCACATGCATCTGCCAGTCATCTTAACCTAGTCAAACATTCCGTCATGGATTCCCATGGTTCTTGAATTGCCAAGTGAAAACGATGGCATCTCAGAATTAAAGGAGGCTTGGGGTCATAATAATCCTTAACTAAATTTATCAACTCTTGAGAGGTTTCAGCATCTGTTGCCTCCAGGAAAGTTGCACTCCCAATAACCAAGAAAGCTGTGGATCCACAAGCAGTCAGGAGAATTACTTGTTGCTTCATATCAGCCTCAATATCATCTGTCTGGAAAAATTAATGCATTCTTTCCACATACTGGGCCCAGTCTGTGATGGCAGAATCGAGTGAGTCAAGCTTCACAAAAACCTGCATGATGCCAGAAATGCTCACCCCAACTTCAGGACAACTGTTGCGAACAAATCTCTTCCGGGGTGTTTTTCTCTCATCGTCACTGAAATAACTCCACAAAGGCTGATATCCTGTCACCAAGTCATGCTTTATTTACACGTACATAGTACATGACACTGATGCAGTTAACTCAGAGCTGGCTCCAAGAGTGAACAGAATCCCTGGCACTCCTGTTTAAAGCTATCAGCCAGGGCTCCCAGACTGGACCAGGGAGCCCCAATCAGGGAACTCATTCCTTGATATCCACCTGGCTGACCTCATTCCAATCACTACAGCAACATTTCTGAAGAAATGGAGCTGGTGCTTCAAGTCCAATGTGGCTTTTCTTCAGAACATTGGTCTTGAAATGTTAACACTATTTCTCTCTCCACAGATGCTGCCAGACCTGCTGAGTTTCTGCACAATTTTCTGTGTACATTTCAGTTTTCCAGCATACACAGTATTTTGCTTTTATTATATGCAATTGAGCAAAGGCAGACCAGATTACTATTGGAACATTACAAACTGCATTCCAGGTCCCACATCCTCTTTGGGAAAAATCACACAGGCTATGTGAAAACTCAGACTGATTTCTCACCCAAGCAACATTTGTTTGGAATAAGGTGGGGGTGGGAGAGAGCTGTAACAGGCCACATGGGTCCTATCCTGAGGCACAGTGATAAGCATCCATGCCTCTGGATCAGAAGGCACAGGTTCAAGTCACACTTACCTCTAGCGGTATGGAGTAAGAAAAGGAATAGAATAAACAAGGAGAATGTTAGAAAAACCTAGCAGGTCTGGCAGCATCTGTCGAGACAGAACTAGAGTTAATGTTTCAAGTCCAGTAGGACTCTACTTCGAAGCTAAAAGGTGTCGGAAAATGTTTTTGACAGAGGAGGAAGAGTGGAGACAGGGATGTGGAGTCCAATGCAAAAGACAAAGGGGTTGCTAATAGAGGTGAAAGAGAGTGTAGAATGGGTGTAGAATGACTTAACATTTTGGGAGGAGATATATCCTCTCTATTACAAGCAAACACGGCACAAACAAGTCAACGCCATGGGAGAAGGAGAAGAATGAGAATGTAAGAAATAGGAATAGATGCAACAAAGCAGAAGGGTAAGAGAAGAAAAGAAACAATACCAGACAAGGAACATTCCTATGCTTTCTGCGAATACTTGCTAAACACAGTCTTCATCTTGCCATGATTATTCATCCATTAATTTTAATGGTTGGAAATCATTAAGTCACGTGGATATTTCTACCATGCTAGGATGCACATTTTTTAAATGATCCATCAATTTCAAATTAATCAGAAATTCAGTCAGTAGAATTTAAAGAAAACTATTTGCACACATTGGTAGTGTAAAGGTTTAATTACAGGCACTGAAAACAATAGAAATATAAAAAGAAATATAAACCAATACACTGTGGAACTGGCAAAGTGCTTCCTTTCCATATACTTGTACAATATGATCCTAGTACTATTTGCGATTTACAAAACTTTCACATATTTACATCTGTTATGACATAACTTTTACATTAGTACATTCACAATGTACCCAACACACACTGCTAATATCGCTCAAGTGTGACAGAAAAGTGAAATTTCATCTTGACAAAATGTGAGTTGTAAGTATAAAGGAGTTTTTGCTTTGCATGTATTAAGCTTAAGCTAAATTGGCGGTCTTCCAAAAAACGATGTACGCTTAAATAGTAATCAAAATATAATACATTTTCATATTTGATTGCACTTATAATTTACATGATATAAAGTACCAATATGTATTACAGACTCACTGACAATGGATCAGAGTATTACGTTTTAAGACAGGTTATAAATTAGCATCTGTAGCAAAATGCTTTACATGATATGAGTGAACACCAGGCTTTTCAGCAGAGAGTCAGCATGCCCCATTTGCAACATGCATGATTCTTTAATCACCAATTTGTGGCAGCAAGACTCTGTCAGAACTACCCCACCTGCCATTAAGTTGGATGCTTTTCAACTGGTAATGTAACACGCATCAATTGTTTGTGGCTTTCTGGGTTTCTTTCTCTGCCAATCTGAATCAATTAACTTTAATATAGAGTGTGATTCAGAAAAAATGAAACATCAGATATTAGTGAGCATACATGGCTATACATCAGTATGAAAACATTTCTGTCACACTAGACAGATTTCCTTCTTTTACCAAATACATTATTAATTAACTTAGCCATTGACTTTGAACCACTCGGTCTTCTCCGGCGGCTCCCGCTTACATTCCTGATGGCCTTTGAAAACATCATCGCCACTTCCTGGTGGTGCTCAGCTGCTGATAGCTCGTAAAATTGACATTTATTTTCTCCAGCTAAGAGCAGTCCTTCCTCCTTTCTCACTTCTCTCACGTGGCACAAGTCTTGTTTGTTGCCAACTAGAAATATCGCTGATGTAACCTCCCTGTACAAGTAAAGATAAATTCAACGGATTAAGAAAGCAACTGCAGTCATATACTCATCAACATTTCCCAGTAGATGTGAAATCCAAAAGACAACTGCATAACTTCAGGTACACATTGTAATTGGGAATTTTCAATCAATACACAGCCATTGAAACAAAATTTCTTTGTCTGAACAACCTGGTTTCTTTGGTTTAAGCAGATTGATTTCTGAGTGTGATAATACATTGTTATTGCTCCCAGTTCCACTGCAATTTCAAAAGCAGATTTATTTTGCATATCCAGAATGATTACAGTACAAGGAGATTATTGAGGCTATTTTTTATGTGCCAGTTCTCTGCAAATGCAACTCAGCTCCACCTAACTCTGTTGCTTTCTCCCCACTGCAATTTTTCTCTCTTCAGAATCGAAAATAATTTAGCCACAGACTGAACCTACCATCTAATGTGCATGCTGTATTGCTGCACTGAACCTGCAAGCCCATGTACTGATCTTGAGAACAGCCATGTGATGTTCAGTAAGTTGTTGATTCCTATGGATACTAAAGACCCTGGTCTTCCAAATATACATTCTGTCTGACTATGCATAATCATGAGCTACAAGCTCTGCCCTGTGGACTGTCCTATATCATAGCTAACAGGAGGGCTCCCTCGGTTGCTCAAAACACTTGGACCTCAAACCTCAAATACAAATTTTTGCACTTTCTCCACCTCATTTCCAGAGTTCACTAGAATTGATAAGTGAAATTCGGAATCTATAGATAAGAGCTACAGTATTGTTGTTCTATAAAATAACATCTTTCATTAAGCAAATGACTTTTTTTTCAGTAAATGAGAACTTTGCAAATAAAACTGGAAAACTAATCTTTTAATCATACTTCAGACTGTATTTCAAGTAATCAGAAGTTACAACTTTAGTTGCCAAATATTTCACAAGAAATATTGTGCAATACATTCCAAGCCAATACAAACCAGATAGAAAATATTTTGAGTATTTTTCTGACTGAAAGGAAAGGAAAAAAAATTGAGAGGTTAAGCTCAGACTGAATGAAAGTCTACAGTCATAAGCAAGTGGTTTAGCTGAGACTTCCTCATTTTAGAATTTCTTTGGGTGAAAAAATCAATCTATTTGTAATCACTGTATATGGCCAGCAAACACTGTGGTATTTAGGAGAATTTTTAAAATAGATAACTTTAGGCACAATGCCATTGGAAATATCTAAAGTGCCATTTTCATGAGGTTAACAAAAAGGTAACACTAGGGTCTTGTGGCTTAGTGGTACTGTCCCTACCTCTGGGCTTGTACTTGAAAGACTATCAACTCAGGGAAAGGTACTCTTTGGTTTGCCTGAAACTTGTTGGTCTTCCAGAGCAAAGAGTTGACCTCAACTGGCTGTTGCAGACTGGCACATTCCGAGGTCCAGGACCATATCCTGGATGCATTAAAGCTTGGGACAACTGCTGCCAGGGCATGGTGAGGAAAGACCACCATTTAAGATCTTTCTGCCAAAGTACAATGGGGGTCTGCTCAGCTGTCAGATGCTCTCTTTGTCTCAAATGTATGTAAATAATGTCCTGCATGAGTAGGAAATGTCTATGGCTTTTTTTGCAACTGCAGGGAAAGTCAAATGCCAATATCTGTGTTTTCTCTATATGCAAAGATTGTGCCGAACTGCTTTAGTACCTATGTAAGTACAGAAAGATTTTTATGAACAAAGCAGATTTTTGCAATAAAAACCAATTAACTAAGAACTGGTGACAAATATTGGACAATGGCAAGGCATGTTAGCAGTGAGACTTCATCATCTCTCCAGAAACAAACAAGGCACCCAAATGGGTCAAAGATGCAGTGCATGTAACTGTATATAAGTTTTTAAAAAACTGGAAAATTCCTGTTTATCCAGACGACTCAACAGACAATAAGAACTGTTGGTGAAACAAACATGAGATGACTCAGTGCTGTATTTTTTTTAATTGATAAGCTGAGTTTGAGTGAAATAATTACAAAGAAAGGAAATAGGCAATGACAAAGTCATATTTTTGATACATCTTTTAGACTACTGAGTTATAAATGCAAATTCAACCTGACTTGACAATATATTTTGCCAAGATTAATTCATGTTAAAATGCAAATGTATCAGTTGTCTAGATTATAACTATAGTCCTCACATTGGGTACAGAGCATAGATGCTGACAAATCATTTTATTTAATTCCAGAATTCATTGTTTTCTAGTCTATTATATGAAAAGTGGCGATCTTGCACATCAAATTCCAAATATAAAATAGCAAAGTCAATGCACTGAAGATATAAGCCTAGATTTTTCGAACAGTGTAATTTTAGCCATTGGGTTAACACCAGGATTAAAACAACACTGATCAGAAAATCAAGGTTACAATGTTTTTCATTTGGTACCATTGTCTTGTATCAAACATGTGTCCAAGCTAACCTGCAATTATTCCTTTCTTAAAATAAATGTCAACAAAAACATCACACTTTGTGTCGAAACAGGATCCATCCTCAAAATAGATCAGTTTTTGATTGCACGGTCATCATGATTGGACTTTGTGCGCTACTGTTCACTGAAAATCTATATTACAGTAAGTTATAGTGTGGACATCACTAAACTCAGTCTGTATATTTACTTCTGGACACTCAATATTGTATATTTTGTCATTTTTGTAAACTAACTAAAGGGGCACAGTTGTGTAATTAAATGACAATAAGTAAATAATACACACCTAATGTTGCATATTCATCCAGCACTGATATTTTTGACTTCATCCTACACTGTTCCAATGAACCACAAGCCAAACACAAGGAAAAGCATCTCATCTTTCTGCTAGGTGCTTCATAAACTTTCTGGTCCTAACATTTTCAACAACTTTTGATTTTAGTTATCATTTCTATATTCTTTTGGAATTCTGCATCTATATGCACCTCCACTGGACTCATCTTTTCATTCGATGTTTGTCCCCTACTGCTTCCATTTGCTTTTTATCATTTTACTCCTGCTTTCCACTGACTATTTCCTTTCTTCTTTCTCTGTTCTATTTTTTCTCTGCTCCATATTTCCATGGAAACTGTTAATTCTAACATCTTGCAGTTCTGACGAACTTGTCTCTCCACAGATACTGCCTCGGCTATTGAGGGATTTCAACATTTTCTGTTTTTATAATACAAACATTTTACTGCAGAAGACCACTCTGCTGATAAAACATTGTGCACCGGCATAATAATATATCACATGGAAGTCTTCTGATCTTTGTCCGAACTTGAGCTCAAAAATATTTTGAAGGATACTACCCCTTTTAAATTTCAACTGTGGCCCAGTCTAATTAAATGGAATATAGTTACATCTGTCAAAACATCTAGCAAGTGTTTATCTGCCATTATGATCAATATTTTCCTGTACTACACTTTCCTGCTGCTATCTTTGTAAATTAATACTGGTACAGCTGAAAAAGTATTAGTCATAACAGTCAGTACCATTTGTTATCACACGCACATGTGAGATATAATGATCCGAGTGATGCAATTATCTTTTGCTGTTTCCTTCCATTACCCTGAAAAATTCACACACGCAATTTTAAAATTTAACTTGGATAATTCCTTCAAAGGACAGAACACTATGTCTAGCACCTATTCCATCCTAGAAATGGAATGAAAATATCCTGCATTTCCAGATCAGTTGTACCACACATTAAATCAATTTAACTGGAATAAAAGGCTAAAGAGCTCATGGTGAATTTTACTCTATTTGAAGTTTTGACTGAAACGAGATTGGAGGCTGGTCAACAACAGCAAAATATAGGAGTGTACATGTCCTCTGGTGATGATAGGATTTTAAGTTTTCTTCTTACATGGAAGGAAGTACAAGCTTGAACATCTGATGAAAGCAACATGTCAAAAATGTCTTTTTTATTTTTAAAAAGATCATCATTCAATAACAGTGAATGGTGGTCATTCTTGAAGTGAGTGAGCAAATATAACAGTAACAGAATACAGCAGATGTTACTTAAATAACTCAGAAAGCCAGCCACTGAGCAGATTTAAATGCCATAAATTAAAGGGGTAGCCACGGTGTAAAAGTAACAGGTTAGTATGCTCTTACCGCTTGCAAATTTCACGACTTAATTCACGGATTCGTCTAATAAGTGCTTTTGCAGACACAAAGGAGGATCGGTCACCGATATCATACACCACAACAAACCCATCAGCCCAGTTTACTTGATCAATCAATGAGGATTTACTCGCAGAATGCTGGAAGAGAAAGGGCTGTTAGAAAAAAATACTGGGCAATTTTAAGTATGCTCTGAGACACTTCATCTAACCTATTCATTCTAATTAATCCACTGGATATCTTTATTATAATCTATTCATACTCTTGACATTGTATTATAAAGTAATTGCAACTTTCCAAGAAAGAAATAGATTAAACTTTGGTCATTAACTGCAGGCATAATTATGAAGAGAGATAAGGAAGGCTTTAAACTCTATTAACATCATTAATGAAAGAAAGAAGTTGCAATAACATTACTACACTAAAGGAACTTGCTTTATTCATTCCTCATGTCTGGTGCAATCATCTCTAATTCCCTACCCTTGGTCTCATATCGTTTTCTTACTTTCTTTACAAACACATATTGACTTGCCTTTAAAACAATCTTCATACATATTTGATGGAGAACACTCTGAATCTGAATCACCTTTTGCCTGAAAATATCTCTTTTAATCTAATTTCTCAATTGACAATCAGCTTTTGTCAATAATGGAATCATCACTATTTCATCATTGCAAAGCCTTTAATCGTTTTGAAAAAATGAATTTTCTTTCAACTTCCTACATCGTTACAGTACCTGTTACAACTCTTAGGATGCTCATCCGAAAACGTTGCACATTGAACATTACTATGTGCAAGTGTAGTCACTGGACTTTTTGTTTTTTTTAAGTTTTATTTAGTACCCCTCAAACAAACAATATGGAGAATTAACACTTATCATTGAACTATGTACACATTTTCTAAAATCAGCTAAGTCATACAGTATAGATTTGTACAGCACAGAAACTGACCCTTTGGTTCAACTCATCCATGCTGACCAGATATGCTTGATAAATCTAGTCCCACTTGCCAGCATTTGGCCCATATCCCTCTAAGCCCTTCCTATTCATGTACCCATCCAGATGCCTTTTAAATGTTTTAATTGTACCAACCTCCAACTCTTCTTCTGGCAGCTCATTCCATACATGTACCACCCTCAGTGTGAAAGAGATGCCCCTTAGGTTCCTTTTAAATCTTTCGCTTCTCACCTTAAACCTATGCCCTCTGGTTTTGGACTCCCCTACCCTGCGAAAAAGACCTTGGCTATTCAACCTATCCATGTCCCTCATGATTTTATAAACCTCTATAATGTCACCACTCACCCTCCAACGCTCCAGGGAAAATAGCCCCAGCCTATTCAGCCTCTACCTATAGCTCAAACCTTCCAGCCCTGGCAACATCCTTGTAACTCTTTTCTGAATCCTTTCGAGTTTAATAAATCTTTCATATAGCAGGGAGCTCAGAAATGAATGCAGTATTCCAAAAGTGGCCTGACCGATGTCCTGTACAGCCTAAACATGACATCCTAACTCCTATACTCAATGCACTGGCCAATAAAGGCAAGCGTACCAAATGCCTTCTTCACCACCCTGTCTACCTGTGACTCCACTTTCAAGGAACTATGAATCCTAAGTACCCAAACAATACTGTGTGATGGGTGAGCAACAACTTTCCTCTGCTAGTGTTCTAAACAGGAATGCCTTTTTAAGCAAGAGACCCCATTCTGAAGAAATACTTACTTGGGAACAAGGGTCAAATATTTCTAAATTCATCTGTCTTCCATCTATGCTTAATCGTTTTTTGTAGATGCACTCTGTAGAAACAAAATTTATTGGAGTTATGATCAGAATATTACCCAGCACTGCTGGAGTACCTGTCTTAGATTTTTCTTGGACCTTTCGGTCCAACCAGTCCATGCTGAACATAATCCCAAACTAAACTAATCCCACCTGCCTGCACTTGGCCCATATCCTTCTAAACATTTCTTATTCATGTCCTTTATCTAAATGTCTTTTACACGTTGTAACTGTACCTGCATCCACCACTTCCTCTGGAAGTTCATTCCACACATGAACCACCCTCTATGTTAATAAATTGCCCCTCATATCTTTTTTTAAAATCTCTCTCTTCTCATCTTAAAAAAATGCTATCTAGTCTTGAAATCTCCCACCCTAGGGAAGACACCTGAAAATCACCTTAACTATAACCCTTGTGATCTAACACCCCTAAATCTCCTATGCTCCAGTGATAAAGTCCCCGCATACCCAGCCTCTCCTTATAACTCAAAGCCTCCAGTCCTGGCTACATCCTGGTAAATCTCTTCTGAATTCTTTCTAGCTTAATAATATCCGCCCTTCTTAAAGAAATGTTATGAACTGAGACCATTTCAAGAATTAGATGCACAATGTTAACTGTAAGAACACTGGATTTCAAATATTGTGTTCTGCTGTAAGCTTGTATATAACAAGCAAATACCGGATTTTATTAGCAGCAATTAAAAATGAGCATGTTTCAACCTTTCAGACAAATTCAGCTCTTGGAGTTTCTGCTTGTTTTGAAGAAACAATATTGAGGCTCTTCACAAGCCTTCAAAAGGAACTTCAGGAACATCCCACACTTTATGAGTGCTACACATAGGTTTAGGTAACGTAGTAGCGTTGCACTCTTACACAGTGTAATGTTTATTACAGCTGGATATTTACGTAGCGGACCTCAAGAATTTTAAAGGTTTTAGTTGCGATTTAACAAAAAGAGAAGCCAAGGCATTATCAAACATCACCAGTCTTACTTCCTTCTAGACTACAGTGACATTGATAATTAGGGGACGTATTCGCAATTTAGAATCAACAACGTTACCATTATCTGCATAAAGTTGCATCGTTTCATACAAAGAAAAGACAAAGGTTACGCCTGCAAAGATATTTTGTGAACATTTGGCTGGGAAATGCACAGAAAATCATCTCGCATCTTTAGTTATTTTAGGTCCATGACCTTTCTCTTGACCGCACACTGAACCCTAAATGATACAAGTTCTCCAGACACATCTCTGCTGCTCGATACAGCGCCCGTGCTGTGGCCAGGTCCTAGGGGCTGAGAGAGGGGTTACATTTTGGAAATAAATACAGCAGCAACTTCTAAAATAAATGCACAAGTTTGTTGGCGGAGATCGCCAGTTTCCAAACACACAAAACAAAAACACGCCGGGTGGAAATTCGGGATTGGAATCTTACCGGAATTGGAAGCATATTCGCCGATAAACCGCTTGGTCAGAAATCGAACAATGAGAGCTGCAAATAGATGGAACAAAATAAAGAAATGAATCAGCAGATTGCATTGGTTAGTACAAAGGAGACTATTAAAATATATTAAAGTATATATTTTTTTAAAAATCACACTAAAGGATTAAAAAAGACACACACACAGGAATGGTGTTGAGTTTCACCATTTGGAAATGTACATGTGAAATGCTCAAGTTAAACACTTTACCGGATTTCCCAACTCCATCAGTTCCTAACACCGCCAGTTTGATCTCATTCATTTTCACAGGGAACTGCTGCAGGCTGCTCGGACGCGCTGGGAGACCGTGCCTCTGTTTATGGACAAGGCTCTTACATACTCTTGGCTTTTTCTCTTCAGCTCAGACCAGATACGCCCGCTGCTTCCCTTTAAATTGCGCCTCGATTTGCGTCACTTCGGCGCAAGGGGTTGTTAAATGAGCCTCCGGGAGATGTGACCCGATCCGCCTCTGGGGAGGCTCGCATAGCGGGTGGGAACAACGAACCCTTTGCTCTCCAGACCCTGCACTGGAGCGTGAAAACAATTCATTAGGCAACACACCGGAAAGTTCAGAAATCCAACCATACGTTAAGAAGTGACAATGCATTCAAAACCTGTGCAACGGGGGAGTTGGGTGCAGGAAAGTAGGCCGATTCAAACATTGCGTGTGGCGAAAATAAGAAGCAAACATTAAATAATTTGGGAAAGTTAAGTGTTGAGAATGCGTCAGAAAGTGCGATGACAAAGGAAGCCGTAAAACTGAAAAATGCAAAAGGGAATAAGATAATAACTGTTTTTCCACCCAAAGATGGAAGCCGCACATACAAACAATTCCTAATTATATCAAAGAAGGATCACAGCAGATAACAGTGGAGATGATAACTTAGAGTTTTAAAATTTTAGTAGGGAAAGTGGGCTGCAAGCTACCATCATTAATAGCGTGGATTTCACAATGCATGCTCTATTTCAGAGTAGCAATGGTGAGATTGGAATTAATATTTTAGCAAATATGTTCAGCATCATTTATATTTGGATACTTATACACTCATGGATTTTTGACCTTCAGATTACCGCCACCTGATGGCTTGAATTGACATTGCAAACACTCACTTGCGATAAATCGGAGCAATTGCTGCAGATGCTGGAATCTGTACTGAAAACAACAAATACCAGAAATCTCAGCGGGTCAGAGCTGTGGTGAAGAGCGATCTAGATTCAAAATGTTAGCTTGCTCACTCTCCACAGATGCTGCCTGACCTGCTGCGATTTCCACCTCTATTTGTTTTCAGAAGAGATAAATAGCATTGGAGTAGAATTTGAGCGGATGAGGTTTTTGGCTTTCTCGCTGAGCTGGCTGGTTATCGTGCAGACATTTCGTCACCGTGCTAGGTAATATCATCAGTGCGGCCTCTGATAAAGTGATATTGGCATACTCCATGTGATATTTATATGATCCGGTTTGGGGTGTGTCATTTCCAGTTCCGTTTTGCATGGGTTTGTATATAGGGTCTGATTCCCCATGTTTGTTGATTGCATTACAGGTTGAAAACCAGGCCTCTGAGAATTCCCATGCATGTCTGTGGTTGGCTTGAGCCAGGATGTTTGTCCCAGTTAAATTGATGGCCTTCATGGTCCAACTGCACTGAGATGAGGGAAAGTTTGTCATGTCGTTTTGCTGCTATCTGGTGTTCGTGTATCCTGATGGCTAGTTTCCTTCCAGTCTGGCAGATGTAATGTTTGTTGTAATCATTGCAAGATACTTTGTAAATTATGTTGGTCCTGCATGTCATGGGTATGGGGTTTTTGGTGCCTGTGAGTGTCGTAGTATGGCTGTGGGTTTGTGTGCTATCATGATTTCTAGTGGTCGTAGGAGACTCGTCAGGCCTGATATGTTCTTGATGTAGGGCAGTGTGGCCAGTGTATTGGGGCATACTGTGTCCTCTTGTTGTTATCTCCCTAGTGGGCACCTGCGAATGGAGTTGTTAGCAAAGACTTTGTGTAGGTGCTCTTCCTCCTTCCTTCGTAATTCTGGTGTGTCACAGTGAGTTGTAGTCTGTTTGAATAGTGTCCTAATACACCTTTGTTTGTGGACATTGAGGTGATTGCTGTGGAAATTGAGGATCTGGTCAGTGTGAGTTGCCTTCCTATATACTGTGGTTTGGAACTCCCCTTTGGTCATTCATTCTACCCTGACATCTTTAGAAACGAAAGTTGATTGTTGTCTTCCTCATCTCTCGTAAATTTGATCACGGTGAAAACATTGTTGATGAGATGGTGTGTCTCTTCTAACTTGGTGCATTTGTCATCGTTAAAACATGGGGAATTAGACCCCATATACAAACCCATGCAGAACAGAACTAGAAATGACACAACCAACTTAACAGACTTATCAAACAGAGTATAACAACAGCGCTTCATCGGAGGTCGCACTGATGATGTTACTTAGCATGGTGGGGAAACGTCTGTATGATAACCAGCCTGCTCGGCGAACAAGCCAACAACCTCTTCCACAACCCGAGCTACAAATCTTCACAAGAACCTGAAATTTGAGCAAGTTTGGAGCAGATTTGTCACCGTCTTTTGAAAGAAACCACAAACTTTTTGTGTGACTGAAACTCTTTTCAAAGCTACAGCCATAGCAAATTGATAATGTCAAACTGGCCATGTTTTAACGTACAAATGCTGAAACTAAATCATTGAAACATGGGCCTGTGTTAACTGATTAGTGTAGGGCGTTCCTCCTGTTCAGGAATTATAAACTATTTAAGGAAGAGAGCTTGACTCATGGGGGAACAAAAGTTATTTGGCCATTCAACTAATCTTTTGATCAACTCCATGGTATAAACTTCCTGAGTTTGTGACTGGGAGTGTCAAACTTAAATTATGCACATCCATAAATGTCGCCCAAGGCAAGTTTGATGGTGCTGTGAGGTGCTGTTTTCGTGCCATCCTCTCATAGAAACTCCAAATGCAGAAAATAAACAAATGCAAACTTTGGCATCAGAAACCATGCAGACGTGAGCGACAGCCTTACACAAGGCCAGACAAGGGAATCATTTGAACTCACATGATTGACGTATTTCCTTTATAAATGTTCAGAATCACTCAGAGGGGAACGATTATGGTAATCAAGATTTTTAAAAACCCTTTCATGGTGCTGATGGATTGTGATGGGGTTGATCAAGGAGTGACCATGGTCTAATCTGTCCTTTCACTGAGGCTCAACTTGTCCCTGTTACCTGTTGTGTTGAATGGTTAGTTACCTTTGTCTATTTTACCAGTAACCTGAATGTAGTCATGGTAATTTAGTTCCATTTCTTTATTTAAACTGTATACATTACTGCAGGCTAACATAGAATGTGCTTATTTAATGTCTCCATATCTGTCTGAGTGTTTTGTTCATGATCATATTACAGTATCCATTAGATCACTGACTGATATTAATCCCTTATTCCACAGCTGCTAAGCCCTGCATTTGTTGACCATTCCCCATTGCTCTAGAACTGAGTGTTATTTCAGAGGGCAGTGCATAGATCAGAGAATCCCTACAGTGTGGGAGCATGCCATTCGGCCCATCAAGTCCACACCACCCCTCTAAAGAACATCCCCCCTAACCTACCCCTCTAACCCTGCATTTCCCATGGCTAATCCACCTAGACGGCATATCTTTGCACTGTGGAAGGAAACTGGAGCACCTGGAGGAAACCCTTGCAGACACGGGGAGAATGTGAAAACTCCACACAGACAGTCACCCGAGGGTGGAATCGAACCCGGGTTCCTGGCGCTGTGAGGCAGCCATCCTAACTACTGAGCCACCGTGCCACCCTCAGTTAGGAGGTAACTGACATTGTTTTAGGTCTGAAGTCACATGTAGACCAAACCAAGTAAGAATTTCAAAGTGAGGAAATGGAGCAAGAAGAAACTTGTTGAAGAGAAAAAAGAAGAGGCAGGAGAGAGAAAAGGAGTCAGAAAGGAAAGGGGATTTCAATCAAAAAAACAAGTGGGAAGAATTCCATTGAAATCCGTGAAGATACTGACGGGGGACATCCGCGCGCAACTAAGGGCCAAATGTGGAGCTGTGCAAATTTGCCAAAGTAATCTCAAAATCTGAAGATAGTGACCAAGGCACCTTTTTAATTTTGTTTGAAAATATTGAAAAGCAAATGAAGTAGCACATAGAAAGCAGGGTGCTGCTTATGTAGAGCAGGCTAACTGGCAAAGTTCATGATGTCTTTGCCATGTTGTTTGAGTAGACATTCATACATTATGAAATGGCAAAGCTGTCTACAGTTCTGAAAAAGAGTCAATTCCGACTTGAAATGTTAACTCTGTTTCTCTCTCCACAGATACTGCCTGACCTGTGGAGTTTCTCCAGCACTTTCTGTTTTTATTACCCTCAATGCTTATGCATTCATCCCTAAAGCTTATAGGCAGAAATTTTGAAATTTCCAGAAGTAGATCTAGGAGACTTACGAAGAATTTGGGAAGGAAAAGCAATTTGCCTTTGACTATTGGATACTCCCAAGTAAAATATATGCCATGTACAAGAACCACAAAGAGGAATTTTGGGGAATTTAAAAATTCACTTCCTACATTTATAAGGACACACAATTGGTAAGCAAAAGGTTCAACAGTCAGATAGGTAGCAGAAGTGATTTTGTTTCATTCATTCACAGGATGAGGGCACCACTGGCTAGGCCAGTATTTATTGCCCATTCCTAATTGCCCAGAGGGCAGTTAAGAGGCAACCACATTGCTGTGAGTCTGGAGTCACATGTAGGCCAGACCAGGTAAAGATGGCAGTTTCCTTCCCTAAAGGATATTAGTGAACCAGATGGGTATTTACAACAATCAACAATGGATTCATGGTTATCATTAGACTCTTAATTCTAGATTTTATTTTGCATTGAATTCAAATTCCATTATCTCTTATGGTGGGATTGTCCCAGGAATATTACCTGGGTCTCTGGATTAACAATAATACCATTAGGCCATCACCTCCCCACTGCTGATTCTCGATCATAAGCTTGCCCACAGCCCTTATTACAGGGAAATCCTTTTTTCATCACCCTACAAACCTGAAGAGGATAAAACCTCGGAGGGTGAAAGGAAGGTGAAAGACAAAAGTAAACAGGGACAGATGGATATGAAAAAGGATCCCCCTCTTCAGGTCAGAGAGGAAGCTATTGAGAGTAGGGGTAATGCCCAATATGTTTCCATTTCAACCAGAGATGCTACCTTTGCACTAATTATTGCAAACAGAATGGTAAAGCAGTGGCAATAGTATAAGTGGAATGTACTCTCTCAGAATCAAATGAATGGTGAATGCAGCTCAGGATAATCAAAGCAGTTCTTTCTGAGATACTGCAAAAATGAGTCAGGTTATTGGGTGTTATAAG